TCATATCGATATCGGAATTATATCGTATCGACCGAAATTAAGAAATATATCGTGATATAAATTTTGGCCATATCGTCCAGCCCTACAAAAACATGAACGCAATAGTAGTAGTGACACTGGAAGAAAACAAAGTGGGCTTTATAATGCGTCTGAGATGTGGCTAATAAAGGCCTTCAGCGCTGACTAAAAAGCACATGACGGCTCTAACAATTACTGATCCTCTGCGTGAATGCATACAGTGCTTACTGTGGGTGTGTGTCTGCACTGTACTTGCATACTTGAGAGTGTGCGTACTGCGTAGTGTGCACTTCAAGTGTGAACTCACCCTCTAACAAGTCTGAAGCAGAGCCGAGACAATACTCCATCACAAGCTGAATGAAAAAAAAAAAGCAGATGAGAATATTGTGAAAAGGAGGCATGGCTGCCCCAGGGAATTCTGGGAATGAATTCAATGTAGTTGTTACAGCCGTTCCCTCAGTTCACAAATGCATTACTGTATATATATCCCTCTCTTTTTTTTTTATTGAAATGAGACATAACAGAAGACAGTAGAAAAACAAAAAAAATACACCAAAGCAAAGACAAACATATGGACAACTCCCCAGCCTTCCAATACATGTGAGAAGAAAAAGTTTGTATAAACAAGTAATAATAATAATAATAATTTACAGTGGTAATATATAATATATACAGATCCAGTATGTGCACATTGCTATTAATGATAACAATGAAAAGCTAAATATATGTAAAGAAAATGGAGAGAGAAAAAAAATGAAGAGTTCATTTGCAAAAACAGATAACTCCATTTTTATTTTTTTTCAGAAATCACGTTTTTTATTGCGCATTCCCAGTAATATCAATCAAACTGCAGTTGGGTTGTTTTGATTAAGTAATAATAACTTAAACAAATACAGGTCATTTACTAAATTAAAGTTCATTGAACATATGTTTTTTTTTTTTTTTACATATTAAAAGTTAGTTTTTTGGTAAAAGCAGATAACTCCACATTTCATGTTTTAGAGTTTAAAAAAACAATCGTTTAATCTTTGTAATCTCCTCAGATGACAATGTAGACAATTTTAATACCTAAGCGTATTTAACGTTGTTGTTGTTGTTGTGATCAGAAACTGTATGGATGTGATTACACGCGATACACTACGCTTTTCCCTCATCATTGTAACGCGCTGCTTTTGCAAGCTTCCGTGAAAACCTTTCAGCTTTTATTTTCCTTTTTCACCCTGAAGAAGATATCACAGGTTCATCAAGTTCGTCGAAATGATCCTCGGTCACTTTTAGTCAGCTTTGACGAAACTCCTCTTAGCTAGCACGTGTTTTCAAAGTGAAAGTAGCCTTGTCACCTGACCTGAATACAGCGCGCTGATTCGCTGAAATGGACTTATCGGCTTCTG